GATGGGTTCGAGACTCCCCTGATTCCTCTGAATAATCTGGAAGGTTTGCGTTGCAAATTATTTTTATTGTGGTCAAAGTTCCTGCAAAACAAGAGCTCCAGCCTTCTCCACTCCAAGCCCCACTCCACTTGCCGTTTTAAGATTCTTGGGTGGAGAAAACTCAAGTATTTTCTGCCATGACATCAGTTTTCAGCATTAGATCCACCCCCACACAATACAGGTACCAACGATAGCCAAAATGTCCACATATGCTGGGCTCTAATTAATCTCAGCTGTACTTGATGTCAAACTGAACAAGCAGCATTTCTTCTGTCATTCAAACGTTTCTGTCCAATTAAATACAACTTGTCATTAAACAAAAAGGAGCACGAGTGCCCCCTCACTCAGTGACTTTAAACAGAAACAATTCTTTGGACTAATTAAAAACATCAACTAGACTCTTAAAAATCAAAAACCGTTTCAACCCACAAACTCTTTCTGCTTGTCACACATTCAGGCTCAGAAGACGCCAGACATGAAGACTCGAGTTCAGATTTTAATTTAACGAGAAAATAAAATAAATGGGAACAATTACTTCATGAAATTGAATTGATCTCGTCATAAACCCGTGCGTTCAGAGGGAAGGAGTACGATTTTAAACCGACAAAGCTAAAACAAAGTAGAACGTTAAAGTGATTAAATGCTTTATAAACTTATCAAGACATTTATTTTTATCCAGAGAGTTATTTGAATGTTTGTGTTTCGAAACCAGTTCAGAACTTAAAAAAAAAAAAAAGATCACATTGATCTATGACAACTTGACAAGCTGTTTCAGTTTTTCTCAAGTCTTACTGGTTTTAAAAAATAGGATCCTAAAGGGAAATGACGACTTCTTTCAAAACTTCTGCAGTTCCAGGTTTTTAATATTTGACACTATAATAGAAATGAAGATGTAAATAATTAGTTAAACTCTTGTTTTTGTGTCTGTATGAACTCCTTTGCAACAAAATCAAGTGAAGCATTGGGGGGGGGTGGGGGTGAAGTCAGTTTATGTGTCTCTGCAGAAAGACATCATGTCCAGGGAGACATAACCTTGTGAAACACAACAAAATCCATTGAGGACGAACACACACACACACACACACACACAGAGCTCTACATAATCAATACTGACACGAACTACAAGCTCACATTAAGAGCCCCCCGCTGGGACATCTGGTGTTCGGGTCTGCTCGTCCCATCAGACCACAAATGCAAAAAGAGTGAAAGCAGCGACAGAAAAACGAACGACTTGAATCACGCCTCGACGTGTTGCGGTGATCAAAACTAAATCTGAAGTGTGAACTGAAGCGGACGTAGGTGTTCGACACTTTAACAGTCCTGGTCCTGAACAGCGTGAACTTCAAAAAAATCTGAGGTTCCTGAGAGAAACCTTGTTCATTTAACTAAAACAGAAAGGCAGGACGGATAAACTCGAAGTTATTAAAATAATAAACATTAAACTGCGTCATGATGCTGTGATTGAAGAGGAGATGCCTCAAAATGAAAAGGCTTGAACAACTATTTCACGTGATTTACTTAAACGTGCACAGAAACCTGAAGAAACCTTGAGCACGGGGTCAGTTTGCATGTGTTTCTTTATCGTGAGCATAAATCAGATGAAGAGGGTGAGAGTATCAGAGTTCACCTTTTATCAGTGAAATGTCTCACAGGACGCCGAACCATCAAGTTACATTTACAGGAAAAATAGGAGCAGGTCTTTTGTCGTATTTTTACAGAAGTTTAACTTCAAGTCAAGTTTATTGTCATCTGCGTCACATGTGGTTCATGAGGTGGAACGAAGTTATGTAGGGTCCCAGTTACACAATTTATGGCGCTTCTGCATCAGGTCACACTGGAATATTAAAGAATCAGTGAAATATTGAAGAGCGAGAAAGGAAACTGAACGGAAGAAGACTGTGTGCAGCAGTAGACACGTTCCCAGAGTGCATTGCAGCGGCCTAAGTGGCAGGACCAACCACTGAAGATGCTTTTACGCTTTAAGTACGTTCACGGCAGAAATTGGGTCGATAACAAGAATGTAAACTCCTCTCTGCAGCGTGCAGACTGAGAGGAACAGGACGTGAAACATAAACATGCTGGATGAATCATAAAGTATATGGCTGGCACACACACACACACACACAGTTAGTGTCAAATCAATCGCTGATTCCAATAAGCTACAATCTGAAGGAAGACGTTTTTAATGGTCTGATCAATAAAAAGCTGCACGTGGAAGAAGGATCTGAAGGATTTTATATTTGATGGAGGGAGATTCAATACAAACAAAAATGGGTTTCAGATGTTTTCCCTCTGCTTTTACATCTGTTGGATTTCTTATTTTTAAAATAAAGTAATCTAAACGTGCTGAAATCTGAAGGTAACTAACTCCTTTCACTCAGTTCTTTGCTGCTGAAATCAGCCTTGTTGTGTTTAATTTGTCTGGAGGGTTTTCTTCTTAGGGGGGCACCTCACTGGTCCCCAAATGTCTATACGGCCCCGACCGATATATTGACAAGGGTCGATATTTTGGGTCAATATAGATATTTGGGGACATATTGGTATCGGTGATAACTGTCCCATTATGCGCCAATATAAAACACTGGGAACCAGCTGTGTCCTTATGTGCAAAAGACATAATTGTACAACGTATCCAGCAGAGGGCGCATGGGGACTGCTTTCACATCATGGCCGTTCACTTTAAGTTTCACTTTCAGCACAGATGAAGCAGGGAGCAAAACTGTGTAGCGTATTTTACTGAACAGAACATTATAAGTTTATTTTAACTGGTCTGTAAAACAAATCAACAATAATAAATTCTCTTCAATCCTCCAACCCTCTTTCATTCGCTACGTGCCCCTCAAGTTAGCAAGCTAACGTTTAGCCTAGCCTATTGCCTTGTAAAGCTTTATCCAGAACAATAAATCTAACGTAGAGGTAAAATATATCAGCGTTAGTGACGTTATCTTTGTTGTCCTCAATGAAATGCATTGTTTTTCTGAAATCTTTACTTCTCTGCAAAGAAAATAAAAAAACAGCTGCGGTCAAAACTAGTTAGACCTTCACGTACATGACTGACTGTTAAAACAACGAACAGGGAAGCGGTTTCTTTGTTTAATTTATATTTTTGTAACATACAATATCTTTATGGTGAATAGTGGAGGATAGAAAATGTGAACGCATGTTAAGAAGACGGTTTCAAGACTAAGTGTTAAAACGGGTTTGCAGTACTTAAGATTCTTGGGGGTGGACAAAGCTCAAAAATCTTCAGCCATTATATCGATTATCGGCATTAGCTTTCCTCTTCCAATATCGGTATCAGCGATAGCCAACATTTCCGTATCGGTCGGGCTCTACAGGAAATCTATTCTAGACCGTGCACTTTATTTTGTTTCCCACCTCCGTTTGCTGTGCACCCACACTGGCAGTCACCCCCATGTTCATGAGTTAACTTATGGGAGTGCCTTTAGAAATGAAGACAGGCAGATTTTAAAAGCTATTATTGATCATGGGGTGGTTTTTATTCCTGGACACTCATGGCTGCGGCCGTGGATGTTTCCTCTCTGAGGAGCCATGCAGGCATCACATTCTGACTCTAGAGCTCTTCAGACGGCTTGGAGACGCACATCTCTGACTATTTTCAGAGAAAATCTGACGCACAAATTTCTTGAACATGTTTAAAGTTCAGGCAACAAGACGCCTCTGAGACTCAAGCGAGGAAACTGAGAGCCACCACAAACGTTTCAGGACATTTTGGTCTCCGGCAGCTGAAGCCCGGTGAGACGCTACCTTCACAGCTTTAAATGTTGGAAATCAACATGCAGATCATTCAACTCATTATACCTCTATCTGAACATTTTATATGAACAAATCTTAATCATACATTTCTTATTTCCATTTATCTGCAGGTGCTTTTGTTTCGTTTTAAAATATTGTTTAAATTCCACCTGAAGTTACGGATGGGTTCCACAAAACGAGTAAGTTGAAAGCAGAGAGGAGGTGGTCTGAGCGGGGTCTTTTCTTTATGGTGACAGAAAATGCAGCAACTCTTATGAGAAACTGACACCGGCCGTCCTTCCCAACACAACCTGGACTCAAACCTGCAGCGTCAGGATTACAAACCGAAGTGGCACTGAACTACAGCAGCCCCTCACAGAAAAAATACTTACTAAATTACTTTATAGTAGTACTTTATACCGCCATCCGTTGATGAAGGCCAAGACATTGGAAGCTTCAGACATGTGTGTGACTAAATGCAGTAAGCATTAAAAATGCATGACGAAGCCTCAGAGTCACAGCTTTAGCTCCGCCCCCAGTCTTCCCACAAACACACAGGTGTGCAGAAGGTTCTGGTTTCTCTTCCCTGATCCACCAGCTGTCAGACGCCACCCCTGGTGAAGCCACGAGTAATGAGGGCTGCAGTGCATGCTGGGAGACATTGAGTAGGACCTCGCAGGCCAAAGCTTTAACAAAGATGTGTGATCTGGTAGCACTTGGTATGATTGTGGATGACTCTCAACTACTACCGCACAGTTTTAGCTCAGTCTCTGTAAAACTGACTCAGTTGTAGCTTTTTGTGTGTTTGCTATGGTCCTGTGCCAGACATCTTGAATCAGGGTGACTCTGAAAGTTAATCCGTTTTATACCAAACACCAAAGTTAAACAAATGTTTTGCATCATCTCTTAGTTTTCAGAATAAAGTAGCGCCCAGAACAGTAGAGAAATATAAGATCTCCTGCCTTTCACAATAAAAACACTGCTGGAAAGTTCTGATTCGAGACGCCCGTGAGTGAAATGTGCTCAACACAGAGAGAGATCCTCGTTTCTTAAATAATTACCAGGTCAGTATCTAACATTTTGAATTTACACAATAAATTTAGTCTGATAAAGACAAATAACTGCAACCAACTATTTAAATGCTTTTATATTTCTCTTAATGTTGTCAAACTCTTCAGAAAACTGTAACGTTACGCTGAAACTACCTGCTAACGTTGTGTGGGTCGCTCCTCCTGCAGAAAGCAGACAGATTCAACCTGCAGCCTGCCAACAAACAGAAACAGACGCTTCGTCACACATTCATGTTGTCGTTTCACGACCTTTAAACTGCTCCGATTCACGGAGAACAAAAGGCAGAACAGTTGTCGGCGTTTTATGACCAAGCATTAAAAAAATACATCTTTATAAAATGACACCACTTCAAATCAGATGCTGGATTTTCTGAACAATATGATAAACATATTTAATTGTTCAGTATAAATCACCTCCAAACAGCGTCGGGACGGACAGAAGCGGAGTGAAAACACACGGAGCAGAAAAACATTTCTACGAAACGTTCGGGAATGTATAGAAAAAAACCTTATTTTAAGCTTAAAGATGGAACGCAGCCGTCATGGAGACGATGCTGGGGAGGTCAAACAGAAGGGCAGGAGGCGAGTGTGCTCGACCACAGCTGTCCACACATTCACACCGTGCTGCCAGACAACACACACACGTAATGACAACAGCCGGACACGTGCAGCTTCAGATTATTACTTATTAAGACGTGTCTACAGCTTAATCCCAGCTGGTTGATGGAAAATGTTCCCGCCTGCAGGTGTAGCTGCTGTGATCTTCACACAGTTCACATAAATAACTTCAGACCTGACAGTCAACAGCCCTGCTTATAAACCTGGTTCCTTCGGTTGACCCGGTGCGTCCTGGTCCTCGAGGGCTCCCATCCCGCATGTTTTACTTGTTTCTCTGCTCCAACGCCTGATTTGATGGTCGAATGATCTCGTCTTGTTCTACAGAAGCCTGTTAACACCCAGTGATTCAAACTAGACGAGTTGGAGCAGAGAAGCATCTAAAGCATGCAGGTTAGGAGCCCTCGAGGACCAGGACTGGACACCAAACCTGCTGGCGACTCGTCATCACAAATTCTGCAGTGCTATCAAACATAAAGAGCTTTCAAGTCAAGAAAAACTGATCTAAAACAGCTGAGGCCATGGCGTTTTAAAGGAAGGACAGAGTAAATTCTTGTTTTTGTCATAATAGGAGTAACAAAGACTGGTATAACACTTGAGTTATGAAATGACTGCAGATAAACTACGAGCTAACAGACCATAAAGAAGCTGAACAGTAATCAAACATTCATCTAAATGCCTCCCAAAATAATCCTCATCCACGGTCGTCAGAATCCTGCAGGATTTTCTTCTCAAACTCGTCTTTCTCCCAATAACTGCACATCTTTAGTACGACTTGACGCATGAACTGTTCTTTTACTTACAGCTTGCTGTTGGAAGGCAAAGGCAGACAATAAAACATCTCATCAAGCACTGGATTTAAACTTCATTGATGTTCGCAGGAAGTAATAATCTAAAACTAATTAACTTGAGATAAATGAGCATCACAGCTAATGGACATCAAAAACAATTAACTTGTACAATTTTACAAGTATTGGGCTCAAATCTGATGTGGTAGTAGCCGAGAGTCATTCTCAACACGTACTCTGAGTGTTGCTTAACGTTATTTTAATGTCACATCTTTGGTATGAAAGGCAGCAGACGATCTGCGTTCCTTTAAGGAATGATGGGTTTATGATTCTTCACTTATTATGATGTCATGATTTAAAGAAAACCTCTCAAAACATTTTATTTTTTAAATAAAAATGCTTTTGTAACAAGACAGAGTGCATCTAAAGGCCAAGCTGACGTGCATGACTGGGCATATTTAAAACTGGTTAGTATGAAGAAAAAAAAGGATGTTGTTCCTGTTATTTATTTATTTTTAATCTGAGGTGAGAAACAGTGTGAAACATCGCCGTGAGGGCGTGAACAGAAGGAAGAAGAATCTGGGCCTGAGAATGTTACAGGAAAGAAAACAAGTGAGGTAAGAAAAGAGGCAGACATGCAAATTATGACTTTAGTTTTAAAAAATAGCCCTAAAATCTGCTATTTTAAAATCTTTATGCTCGTATTGACAGTTGGTTGAGCTGCCGCATCTCAGCAAGAAGGTTGCCAGTTCAAATCCCAGCCCGGGATCTTTCTGGGTGGAGTTTGCATGTTCAGCGTGGGCTTACTCCGGGTGCTCCGGTTTCCTCCCACAGACCAAAAACATGCATGTTAGGCTGATTGGTAACTCTAAATTGTCTCTAGGTGTGAGTGAGAGAGTGAATGGTTGTTTGTCTCGTTTGTCTCCATGTCCCTGTGATGGACTGGAGACCTGTCCAGGGTGTCCCCCGCCTCTCGCACAGTGATTGCTGGACATGGGCAGCAGTGACCCCTGTGACCTGAAAAGGAAGACGCGGGTAAAGATAATGGATGGATGGATGGATGGATGGATGGATGGATGGATGGATGGATGGATGGATGGATGGATGGACGGACGGACGGACGGACGGACGGACGGACGGACGGACGGACGGACGGATGGACGGACGGACGGACGGATGGTCGTATCACTGAGGCGGTAATAAAATAAAACTTACTTATTTTTTGGTCTTTAAAAAACTTTTCAGATATTCAACCATTAAACAGAATTAAAGATTTGTGAAGTCTGTAGAAAACAGAGAACTCAAACATCCATCCATCATCCACCCCCCCACTTGTTCCAGAGTCGGGCTTGAGCAGGGAGGTCCAGACATCTCCTCCTCCAGTTCTCAACCGAGAGACGTAGTCACTCCAGGATCCTACCCTGAGTCTCCCCACAGTCGGACATCCTCACCAGATGTTCGAATGGCTCCTCTCAAGGAGCTCAATGTCCCCCAGTGGCATGGAGGTAACCGAGGCCCTACCCTGGAACCAGGCCTGGTGACCGGGGTCGGGCTCAGCCCAAATGAGATACATGGGTTTGCCTTTGTGTGGGCCCAGCACCGGCAGGAGGGGCCACACGAGTCATGTGCATGGTGTCATGGTCGCCTGGGAACTCTAACCCTAGCTTACTAAAAAATACATAAATAAAACTATCAAACACAAATACTTTCATTAAAAGTATTAAACTGTCTCTGATATTTGATTTGATCAACGACTTCACTACTGTCAACTGATTGTTCTGTATAAAACTGGGTATTACTTTTTTATCGCCGATATAAAATACTGTAAACAAAACAACTTTCTTCATTTTATATCGAAAAGTGTTTCCTGCTGCTTCATATCTGTAGGAAGAGATACGCAAAGACAAGATCTGAGGCAACAGACGAGAAGAATACAACTAGTGCACGAAAGAAGACGTCCCCCGTCTCACAGCGAGAGACGAAGGCGGTATTTATAGATAACTGTGTTACAGCTGCTTCACTGATTACGTCAGAAAGAGTCGAGGAAAGGAAGAACTGAGGAACAACGACAGGGGAGGAAGAGGTGAAGTGGAAGAAAGAGGAAACTAGTGATGAGGAGGAGCAGACGATGAAAAGAATGAGGACGGTCTCTAGAAGATGAACAAGACAACAGAGGGAGGCGATGCATATCGACCACCTCCTTTCATGCCAGAGTTTTACACCAAAACCATCTTGTGTTAAAAATTAAGATTTTGTTGTTTCTGTTTTGGTCAAACCTTCAAAACAACAGGATTTCATGCGAAATGTTGGGCTCAATCCACGAGTTATGGAAGACTCTCCGCTACGACCACACCAAGTTTTAGCTCCATATCTGTGAAAGTGGCCGTGTTAGCTAACGCGGATTAGCTTTCACGACCACCTTGAATGCAAAAGTTCATCCAGTGATCATCCTCTGAAAGTATCAATAAAACATGTCCAGTGGTTCAGGTGATATTTTGCTAACAGACAGACAAAAACATGTTCACCTGCAAAAAATAAAAACAAGAACTGATGAGGGGAACTACGTGGATGGGAGCTTCTGTCCTGCCGTCTGGAGATTTGGAAATGTTTTGGCTGGGTGATGTCTGAAAGAATGATATCATGATGTTGGTATTTGAAAATATCAGGATACTTGGACCTCCTCCTCCCTGAGAGAGAACTGAAACTGACACGGTGTTATCATCTACCACCACTGCAGAGACCTCAGGTTGTGGGCTCCATGTTCAAACCTCAACTGGTTTTATTACGGCTCAGTCTGCGGCTCAAAGTGGGCGAGTCGTCGAAGACTGAATAAAAGTGACTAAATGTGCAGCGACACCAGAGACGGCTGCAACATGTTGAACTGGATTCATCAGACGGGGGGGAAGTTAAGATAATTACCAGTAAAATGTTTTTAAAGTCAGCTGCAGTGGTGGCCATGTAAATCAGATTATTTAAGGAACCGTTTACGCTTTGTTGAACTGTTACGACTCAGAAACAAAGGTTGGCATCAGCGGGAACACAAAACCTTGCTACGACCCATACTTCCTTTAAAGAGTCACGCTTTACGGTTTTCTTGGCTCCATAGCAGGACAGGGGATAAACCCAGCTTAGCCGAGCCAAGGACCTCACTAAACCACTCAGTTAGTGGTACTGACGCACTGGATCCACATTCTGTCCTGAATGCTGCTTCGCATTTGAACAAGTTGTTTTCTTTTTGCAAAAATGCACTTGCAGGTTTGCTTTGATGATTTATTAACACAACTTGATTCACACGACATCACAATAAACGAACTATAGAGATTTGCTGTACAACATCATAGTTATAATATAACTGGAACTGGTTTGATGTGTAGTTATGTTACTGTAAAATAATAATGATAATCATAACTTCTATTATCTAATGTATGCATTATGTCCATTATACAGTTACTGGTTTCTGCATCGATTAAGCTTTTCCAGATGTGTAAGCTGCCCATGCCAGAGGCACTAATGCACCCCAATACCATCAGGGAGGCAGGCGTTCTTTCTCCTCGTTAGTATGGAGGACGTGGCGTACATTGCGTTCAAAAATCATCTCCAAATCTGAAGTCGTCTGACCACAGAACAGTTCTCCACTTTGTCTCGGCCCATCTTGAGCCGGCTTCTGCTGAAGGTTTCTTCTTGTTAAATGGGAGTTTTTCCTTTCCACTGTTGCCTTTGTGCTCGCTCAGGACGGGAGACTGCGACGAAATGAAGATTCAACCAGTCTGCTGGCTTCCTTCCTTAGGTA